ATACTACATACAGAATCAAGGAAACCAAACTGGTGAACATTTCCCTGACTGCAGCTCCCGATACATGTTCGATGTGTTGGCTTTTGCAGAATGTCACAAAAATGTGGGCCGTGCCTTGAATAAAAAAAGAGAACAAATTAACGACAAAAACAACAACACCGCCCACACATTCTGACTGAAAAGTGTTACTGTGACAAAACATGCTTTCAGACTAGTACTATTGTTGGCCCCCCCAAAAGTGATTTTGATTTCTACACGAGAAAACTCTATTGTTTCCCTGCTCACGGTATTTAGAGCAAGTACTATGGGGGATATGTGTCAAAGTCAAGGCCCGGGGGCCAGATCCGGCCCGCCACGTCATGTGATGTGGTCCGCGAAAGCAAATCATCTGTATCAGCTTACATGATCCTTGCTTAAATCTGTACCAAAATCTCAAATGATCATTTGTAATAAATAACAGTGACATTTTGCAATAATTTTGTTACCCTGTTTATACTCACTTGAGCAATAATTGTACACATTCTTGACTGATTTCAAAACTAGTGAGCCATCATTTTTTGTGTACAAGTAATAATACGATGTGATGATTAAACATTTATTCGTTTTGTATGTTCTGCGCGGCCCCACAAGTCTAAAGACGGAATTCTGATTAACCCCTTCAGGGACAGCGGTTACGACAGTGGACAGCTTTTCGTGTTATCAGGTTACAGGGTGCATGAAAGGGTTAATATTGCATTGGTGGAATATTACATCTGAATATATTAAGCTGCAAGTTTTAAAACAGTACCAACACATATAATATTTTGAGAAAGCCCAAGAGCAGTAGATAAACACCAAAAGATTCTCCAAACTGTATTAAAAAATGGCGTTTAATAACGTATTTGGCGTAATACGTTTCATGGCGTATTAAAAAAACCATCAAAGATGACCTCATGGACATAAAAAAAGTGTTGTGGCAATGGCTGCATACTTGTTAAAATCCCAAATAGCCGGCGCTAAACTGCACGTTTAGTTACTCGAAGAGATTGTGAGTTTGCTGTTAGCAACAGGCATCAAACAAAGTTGGAGGTGTCAGTGGAAGACGTAAAGACATTATTGAGCCCCAGAAACCAAATCAATTGCTCTGATAATTTTCTGGGAAGCCAGCAATCATATCATGTTTTGTTTGATTTGACGCATCCTAATTACATGGCAAAAGAACAACACTTGCATTTAAAACTTGGGACAACGCCTCCCCCAAAAAGTTTTGTCTATGTCTGTGAACTAACCTCACTAAAATCAATGCATTGTATTGAACAAATTAATATTCATGCAGCAAAGAATAAACAAAAATCAAGTATTGACTTTACAGTGGCATTCCGACAATGCATACACATATACACAGAAGCGCATCCATTTTTTTTTTCCCCCTAAATAAAAGTAATTTCCTGTGAAGACATACTTTCAAAGACCAAAATAAAAACAAATGTCACTCACAGTAGCTACGCTTCACTGAGCTGCGGCCGTTTGGCAACTATATACTATACTGTTATTACAGTGACAGTATACCAACACAGTGCAGCGTGATAGTTTGTTATTCTATGATGGATAAAGTTGTTGTTGGCATACAATTCTTGTTTGCGCATGAATGCGCATCATGTGCAAATGATGCTTCACTTTCACCAGAAGTGCTGTGTTGTCAAACAAGATTGCAATTATGTAACAAGTATTTTGGTTTGTGTGACCCAAGATTTATTATTACTTTTTTAATATCTGGAACACCACGTTCCGGCAGTAACAGGGTCGCGTACACAGATTTCCGAAACAAAATACAGACATTCCGGAACAGTTAACAGCTCCTCTGTTGACTGAAAATGACATCACAGTTGCTCAGGGCGAAGGTACCAATCATGGCTCACCTGTTCGCATGCTGAGCCGGGATTGGTCGTTACCTGAGCCTCGAGCAGCTGTGACATCATTTTCAGTTGACAGCAATTTTAGTTGCATTGTATTGTATTGATGCGTAGGGATGGATTAGCTAGCGCTGTGATCTTCGAAAGTGACTTCTAATTGCAATAACTTGTCTGGGAACTGTAACGATGGATTGGAAATTTTGTTTCCCGGAGTTTCATGAAGCAGCGGCTCTCTTTCTCAACCTCCTGTGATCTCGACTGCCGTCTTGCAATGACAGATGGTGCAGACTCCTGAAGCCTACAGCCTTTGTGAAGGAGAAGCACCCTGGGGAGAGCCAAGACCAACTCAGGGGCAACGCTGACTCACAGTGGCTTCTCTGTCCGCAAACAGCCGGGGACGACTCCTCGGAAGTAACAAGGGGGAGGAAGCTTCACGGATCAAACAGACACTTAATTGGACCGATTTGCCCACTTGTATCTTTGATCCATCTCTCTAAGCTTAATGTTGTACGTCTCCGTGTTTCACACGTATCCGCGGGGCTGCGCAAGACACACACTGGCAGTGGACGGGACAAACATCTGGCTTGCTGTACAGCAGCTGGTCTGTACACGTGTAATCCATTAAAACGAGGTGATGTGGCAGTTTTTCTCGTTGTATCATCCTAACCCAGACTGTGCTCGGCACAGGAATGCAAGGCTCAGGCGTTATTTTCCCTCTATCATTGAGTTCCAGGAAGGAATCATTCAATTGCTCCATGGTCTCTCCAGTCATGAGAGAGAGAAAAAAAAAAAAAAACGATGACTAATTTGATTGCCGAGACCCACCGTGTAGCAGCTGTAATGTCTGGATTAGAGGGGGCTGTCTACCTTTATTTAGTCTTTGGAGTTGGACCTCCTGGAGCGGAACAGAAGAAAACCGAGGCCACCCAAGTCCCAAAAATGTCATGTATGTAAGTTGTGTGAGTTACAGCTTCAGATAACTCCCGACACAAAACAGCCCAGACTCTGAGCTCAGAAGATGGACGCCTGTGTTCAATTTATAACAAAGGGAGGCTTGAGTGTTTGCTTTGCTTTTTGTTCTTTTTTTAAATCCCGATTTATGACCCCGACTCAGTCTGTAACTGTAAGTACTCATGGCTTGTACAGTTATTCATAGGAGTACCGCATTGCAGATGATATCATTCTGGACCGAGATTCCATTTAGTTAAGGGCAGTGCTTTCAGTGGGCCGGTCCGCAATGGTACAGAGTAACGGCCCTTTAACAATAATCTGTTCTATGTGCCCCTTTTCAATTTTAGCCTCTTGCGTACCGAGAAATCAAATGAACCCCACAGTACCCTCTCTTGTTCTATTTCTCTTACACTTTGTGATACTTGTATGAGTCTCTCTGTAATTTGGGTACCCCTCCTCCCCCAAAAAAGAGGATAGGGCGGTAAGGTGGGCAACTGGTTAGCACATGTGTCAAAGTCAAGGCCTGGGGGTGAGATCCGGCCCGCCACGTCATTTTATGCAGCCCGCGAAAGCAAATCATCTGTGTCAACTTCCATGAGCCTTGCTGGAATCTGTACCAAGATCTTAAATGATCATACGTAATAAATAGCGGTGACATTTTGCAATAATTTTGTTACCCTGTTTATACTCACTTGAGGAATAATTGTGCAAATACTTGACTGATTTCAAAACTAATGAGCCATCATTTTTTTTTGTGTACAAGTAATAATACGATGTGATGATTAAACATTTATTCGGTTTCACTGTCTTAATGGCCCTTCGAGCGAAGACGAAAGTAACTTCAAAGTGGCCCGCGACAAGAATGAGTTTGACACCCCTGGGTTAGCACGTCTGCCTCACAGTGCAGAGGTGCGGGGTTGAATTCCAGCTCCAGCCTTCCTGTGTGGAGTTTGCATGTTCTCCCCGTGTCTCCGTGGGTTTTCTTCACGAATGGTTATTCGTTTGTGACTGGCTGGCAACTGGTTCAGGGTGTACCCCGCCTACTGCCCGAAGATAGCTGGGATAGGCTCCGGCACGCTCGCACCCCTCGTGAGGATAGGAGGATTAGAAAATGAATGGGAGGATGGATTGATGAAAGGATATTTTTTCTGCCTCTTGTGACAATTTATTTGGTGTGTGCAAACATACTGAAAACGTAACACGCCACCAATACAAAGGATAAACTGCAAAATAAAAGCTTACCAAATAATAAATTTGACGCCTGTGTATTAGCTTTAGTAGGTTTTTATTTTTAAATTTGCACACGTGGGGGCATCATGGTTAGCTTGACTTGTCTTGTCAGCTGAATTTGGGGTTGTCCACACCGATCAGGAAATGTGATTATAAAATTCAAGAAAGTTTAACATTTACTGTAGGAGTCTCAGCCCCGACCATTTTCTCAGCAGATTAAAGGAGGGGGAAAAAAATCGCTGTTCGCACACCCCACACAAGAGGATAATCGGTCAGGATAATTATTAGAGCCTGCCGACAATTGGGCTTTTCCTGACTTTGCAAGAGAGGAAAAAAATGCTCCGAGTCCCGATTATTTCGATGTGCGTACTCTGCTTAGCCACAGAATAAGAACACCCTGGGTGTTCAGCCCTGTAGTGGCTAACAAAATACAATTGCAAAGAACCTCAAGTGACTCATTTGACTGATATTGAAGCGCTGCAGCATAATCATAAAAACATTTAAATTGCCGTTATTTAAAAACGTCAGAAAATAAGGACAGGCGTCGACAAGTTTGGTGCCTTTTCGAGTCTTTAAAACTTGTCACCACTTGCTTAAAAAAAAAAAATCAAAGCTGTAATAACAGAAAAGTTAATCATAACCAAAAACACACTCTTTCCCAAGCAAGCGCAAAAGAATTGTAAACCCAGATAACGAGAGTCTTCCCCCCACTCCAGTAAAAAAGTAAAAGGCCTTTCCTGGAAGAAGGATTATTTTGTCCAAAAGAGTTAAACACACCCCCAAGTTATGGGCCCATCAAAGAACAGAAGGGCCGATGTGAATGCGTGTGTGTGCCTGTGCTCGAGGAGGGGGTGGGGGGAATACACAGCCGCCCTAACCACAGCGAAGTTTGCGCTGCTTTCTGCTGACTGATGCATACAGGCCCAAAAGGTGAGTCACTGAAGTGGATGGTGGTGGTGGTGTGGGGGAAGACAGTGAATAATAATGGCAGTAATGTGTGTCTACTTCACAATGCGGGGGCACAAGAGGGTCACGGAGCCCCCAAGAAGGCGAGCTCTTTGTTCTCGAAATGCCAGGAGTGATTTCGGCAAAACCACAAGAATGCGGCCGTTTCATTCAAACACAGCGTCGCCTCCATTTTCTCACATTGCGGTAAAATATACTATCATGAATAACTAACACACACACACACACACAAATCCATTATCTTTCCTATCTATCTTATAAAGACATTTTAGGGTGTTTCTAAGTACATACAGTGTAAGTGGTTGGGGATGAGTCACTACCCGTGGTAATTATAGCACAATAAAAAATCTCAATAGTGAGGTGACTCAGCAACATAACCGATGACACAAACAATGAAATAGCCTCACTTATGAGCTATTCAAAGTTGTAGAAACCAAACACATCAGAGGCAAGAAACACAAAGTAACACACATCACAAGTAAGACGCAGATGCTGAAAACAAGCCGCTGACGTCGGCGTGGAACAACTCAAACATTTCTGGCCTCTGTCAAAGATTACAATCAAGGAAACTCATTCGCGCAAGTTTGTAAAGTGTGAGAAAAGTCAGATCATTTTGCTTTTAAATGTGTGTATGTAATGTGTGTGTGTATGTAACACACCCACACACACACACACACACACACACACACACACACACACGCGCGCGCGCGCACACAGACTCTGAGAAATTGAGCGAATTGAAATGTACACTTGGAGAATGACAATAATTTTCAAAGTGCCCATTAATGAGATGGCATTAACTATAAATAATGTCCATTGAAATATCCTTTCAGGGACAGTGGTTACTCCAGTGGACAGCTTGTGATGTTATCAGGTTACAGGGTGCATGAAAGGCTGAATTAGTAGGCTTGTCAAACAAAACAAACTATTCTACTTACATGTTCATTAAGTTTTTTTTTTTTTTGACTGACAAAAATGAAGCATTCATCCTGAGGAAAAATTATTCACAATTTAAAAAAAATCAATGACAGTACATATCTGGAAAAATAATTGCAGTATGTATCTGAAAGTTGTTCATGAGCTGGATTGAGAAATGAAGTGAAACATCCACATTGATCAATTACCCATATGTGGTTCTGTTGTCGTGCAGCATTTTGTGGAAATGGGTCGTTTTTTGCATAAACCCGATGAAATTATAACAACAACATAAATGCTTATTTTACAACTACGAGATTACTACTGTACTACAATGTTTATCATTTTTCTCGACTGTTAATAGCTGCATTACCTTTTTTTATATTCCTGTGGTTATAATAATAATAATCATCATCAGAATAATCATCAGAGTTTTATATCGCGATCCATACCAGTGAAGGGTTATCGCGGTGATTGTGAATTCTTGAAATTTTATGGTCAAGAGGTATACGTTCCGAATGACGTGTCATGCTTACTGTGGTGTCCACTGCAGAGACAGGCGTAGTTGGAACATGTTTGGAGGTCGACTCGGGCGCCTCCAGCACCACACATCCCTGGGCTCCCAAGGTGATAATAACTGCGCCGCATCCTCGCCTCAGCAGCTCCCGGCTGGCACAACGTGCCTCCTCCACGTTATTTACTGATGAACCTGTCAGCAGCTCAGCCTGGATGGAGGCAAAAAAAATGATTAAAGACGCGTAAGACAATTGGCGTGGAATACTGAAGGGATTCATCACTGTATTTTAATAAGACAATATACATTGGTAATGTTGTTTTCTTTAGTGAATCTTTTTTGTGTGAGCCATTCTTGAATGAGTCAGCTTCTAATTACACCCTGTGTACAGTCAGACAGATTTCTAGTCCAGGCTTTGTCCAATCTCTCAGCACTCTGTGGCGCAAACTTTTTTTTTTTTGGTGGGAACGACATTTGACCGTGACGCCGCATCTGGCGGCAAACTGACTGAATGGCAAATTTTTTTTTATATATATATTTTTAGGATATTCTCTGTAGATGTGTGACAGGTGCTTCAGACGACATTGAAAAAAATAACAATTTTATCTAAAGTGATGCGTCACCTGAAATTATCCAGATTATGTTTGGACAAACGTCTTCATTTTCAGTTGATTTATTTTTTATTTTTTAATAATTTGAGTCATGAATGGGTGGATATATTCATCTACATCCACGATCAGAATCAGAATCATCTTTATTGGCCAAGTATGTAGAACACACAAGGAATTTGTCTTCGGTATATGAGATGGTAACTCTCATTTTATAAATCCGGTGTGTTAAATGCATTTGTGATCTCGCGGCGAACTAATAGAAAGCAACTACTTCATTTCGATGTGTGCATTTTCAAGCGTTTGTGCTTCGGTGCCCCAGAAAGACCACACACACGCGAGTCTACCACCAAGTTCTTCAGTAGAGGTCCGAGCAAAATGACATCAGAAACAATTTCCAGTATTCCCTCAAGTGACGAAGTGCATTACATTTGTTACACATGCCGTAGTCATTAATCCACAAAGGTTCATTCGCTAAATGTGCCTCCTTCGGGTATCCAGAGCAGAAACGATTACTTCACCGACAATTACATTAAAAAACAAAACTTGATGCGATATATGACATTTTTTAAGATTGAAATTAATTGTCTTTTTTTTTTAAAACGAATGAACACATTTCTAAACACAGTCTCTTCAATAAATAAGGTTAAATTTCTAATAAAGTAAAAGAAGGTGAAGATTTTCATGCGCAGACACAGACAGTCTCGGTGTTAAGCTGTCAAACAGCAATTGATTTAGGCACTTTATGCCGTGAAACAAATAGCCTACGTGGGTTGTAGCCGAGACTGCGGAGGGAAAATCACGCTGACTCGTGGAGGACAATGACTCAAAAAAATGCGTGAGCAACCATTGTGACAGGCATCAGCTTGTGAATGAAAGAAATCTAGAATGCATTGAAAAGAAGACATAAGTGAAAATGTATTATTTGAAAACCAGCCATGTCGTGTGTGTGTGTGTGTGTGTGTGGGGGGGGGTGTGTATATATATATATATATATATATATATATCTGAAAGAAAGCCGTTTGTTGGGCTTCATTGAAACGCGTTATATATGTATTTTTTCCCCCACTTTTATCAATAACCTTCAACGGAACTGGACACAAGAGGAGGTATAGTGTTAGGAACCTCGAGAAATGATGGTCAAAGTGGAGTACGTAATCCTATTCAGCCGAAGCCACATGACAAATGCTGGACGCAATCATCGTCAGTCAGCCACAATCATCAAGTGAACCCATTGCTAGAGCAGTTGAAGGTTCCCTAGGCAACATTTCAATCCCAGTGGGTCTCTGTGAATGATTAGGCCTGACAATTGTTAAACAGACTGGCTGCCTTCAAGCAAGACACTTACCGGATTGTAAGTGGATCACTAGGTGGTTTCTTAAAAACGGAAAATATCCAGAGAAGAATAAACCTCCGAAACAGACGGCACTAAAAAAAAATGTTGCTTCCAATGTTTTCCTCAGCAGTCCTTCTCAACAATGTACTGCTGTGCAGCTCATGGTCTATTTTTTTGTTCTTTTTTTGAGAAAACATTTTAGGCAGCTACTTCAATAGAAGGGGCTTATTTGTCCCCACTTGACAAGTGGAGTGACTTTGTGTCACTATTTTATTTCTGTACTTGGGAGTATGCACTGTTCTGTCTTCTCTTTGTTCTGTCCGTTGGGCTGAAGATAAAACCAGGCCTTCCTTTTGGCAGGTAAGATCCTCAGATGCACGTGAAAGATGTCATCGGCCCTCTCAGAAAGCGCTTTAACATTGGACGCGAGCTGTTGATGAAAGGGAGCGGCTGGCTGTACATTGTCTTGCTTAATCCTTCCAATGCACCCCCCCACCACCTCCATTTGCACCCTGGTTACAGTGAGACCACACAGGCAAACAGACACATGCACACACACCTGGGCGGCGTGCGTGCCAGATAACCTCGCGGGCAGGGGTTCAAGCAAGACTGACACTCGTGTCAAATGGCGGCCTACCCATCTGATCCTTCTTATGTTTTTCTGCGCAGTGTCAAAGTGAACCGTGACCTTGTACAAGTTCAAAAATAAACCACGGCATATCAATGTTGAAGAGCCCGCAGCTATGCAGTTTTGTCAGGGGCTCTCTCACACACACACACACACACACACACACACACACACACACACACACACACACACACACACACACGCACACGCACACGCACACGCACACACACACACACACACACACATATACAAAAGGCGTTTTGTTAGTCATCGGCTTTACACCGGGGCATTAATCCCCCCGCCCCCGAATCCCTCTGTGTACAAGAATAAGACCACGTTTAAGTTTCTGCCTATCGTCATACGTGAGTAAATGCTCTCTCTCTCTCACACACACACACACACACACACACACACACACACACACACACACACACACACACACACACCCATGCACCATTGTTACAATAGAGGCACAATTAAAGGCGATTGTGCGGTACACACATTACAGAGGTGGATGGTTTTTTGACAATAAGTTGTACATTCATGGCCAAGACGTGTTGAGCGTCTGTTGAATTGTTTTGATCATTTCGGCTATAATGGGGACTTAATTTTTATTTTATTATTTGTAAGATCCGGAACGATACTCACGTAAATGTTTATTTTGCATTCAGTTCAAATTGCTGTTTACGTAAACTCACTTTGATGCAGGCTACTGAGATCCAATAAAAGGGGCCGGATCAAAAAAAAAAAAAAACACACAAATAAAATGCTCAGTTTTGATTCACTTTGTCAAAGAAGTAGTCATTAAAAATGTGCTTATTTTTAAAAGAGTGGTGCGCAGTGGTCGAGACTTGAAAGGTGTCCAGGGTGGCTCTATGAGGGTACGATTTAACTATATCTCTTCATTCTTTGCGGAAAAAATATGAGTCATGCAAGAATAAATATCAATAACTGGGATTCTATCACAAGGACTGAAATTGCTTGAGGGCGTTTAAAACTGCACCAACCCTGAAGAGCTATTTACAACAAGATTAAAGTTGAATAAAATGTCATGTTAATTTCCATGTACACATATCACATCTCACATCTCAAATACAAACACACGCCGCCAGAAAGCTTCCAAACAACACAAATACTTTTGGTATAATTTCATCTTATTTTCTTTCTTTAAATAGTTTCGAGTGATGAAATCTTGACAGTTTACTTTTAAAAAAAATTTCAGTGTGGATTAATGTGATATGTCTTGGCACTTGATTGCCATTGTAAGTTTTGTTTACAGAATGACGTACTACAAGAAAAAACAGTTTTAGTGAAAAACGTTCTCTGGAAGCACATTGATATTTCTGAGTGAGTTGCACGGTCATTTAGTGAAGTTCAATTTGCTAAAAAAAAAAAAAAAAAAAAAGCTCTAACACAATTTCAACATTTATTGGGTGGTCAAAGTCAAAACTCCCCAAAAACTAACATTGCTGATATGATAAATATTGATAGGGTTTTTAACCTTAGAGGCGCTGCCTCCTCTTGGCTGAGGCATATGATAACCTATTCATTAATTTCCTGTTTTTGGACTGTCCTGTGTGTGGCTGTGTATTATCATTTCTGTCTAGACATGTATTTATTTGCTTTTCATCGTTGCTAGAGGTGCAATGTTGAATCGATGAGTTGGCATGAGTGTTGAGGCTTGAAATTGAAGCGGATCTCTGTGGGGAAGGAGAACTGAACCAATGTGTGAATTCAATCATGGACGCTACAGCTACTTGTTTACTTTTAAATTTAGCTTGTAGCAGACGTGTGTGACATCATCCTTGATGGATCATGACGCCTCGGATGAATGGGTGAACGGAGACGTTGATTCCCTCCTCTTTCAAGCGCTTCGAACGACAAGGCGTACGTAGAAATAGTTGTTGCGATTGGTATTAATGTCGATGTTTTGTGTTATGCGTTCTGTTGTATTTTAGGTTGAATGTTCTGTAAAGCGCATTTTTCTAATCCGCCTATCCTCACAAGAGCCTACCCCAGCTGTCTTCAGGAAGTAGGAGGGGGGATACCCTGAACCGGTTGCCAGCCAATCACAGGGCACACAGACCAACAAACATTCGCGCTCACACTCGCACCTAGGGACAATTTAGTGTGTTCCATTAACCTGCCATGCATGTTTTTGGAATGCGGGAGGAAACCGGAGTACACTGAGAAAACCCACGCAGGCACGGGGAGAACATGCAAACTCCTCACAGGAAAGCCGGAATCTTCTTCTTCTCCTTTCGGCACGTCCCTATTCAGGGGTCGCCACAGCGAGTCAGTAATTTCCATCCGCCCCTGTAAACCGTCCTACCAACTCGCATGGTCGTCTTGGCAAAAGTTTTACGCCGGACGCCATTCCTGACGCAACCCTCCCCATTTCTCCGGGCTTGGGACCGGCACTGGGGAACAGTGCACCCCCAGGTGAGGGCACTGTCCCCCAGCGGCTGGGTTACAGGAAAGCCGGAATAGTAGAGCAAAAATAATTTTATGAGCAAAGGGAAGGAGTGCCATACATTCAGCCACCTCTGCAGCGCGACCCCCATCTCTGCAGTTTGCAGGGATGTGTTCCTCGAGCCGGTCCTTGGCCTCGAGGACCGGCTCCCCGACCCGCTGCCACA